ACAACCCTGCCTAGGGTGTCTGGGGCTGCCAAGCTTTATGGGAGCAGACAGCCTCATCTTCCTCCCATGGAGCAGCTGGTGGGTTTGAACCACCAGCCTTGGTGGTTGACAGCCCAGTGCCTGACCTACAGTGCCACCAGGGCTTCCCCCCCCCCTTGGTAAAGGGTATATTTATACACCCAGGGGCGCATGTGGACTCCCTTCCATCTCCTTGAGACAGGAGGGAAGATTTCCTCGTGGCTAGTGGGGAAACTGAGGCAGTGTGGTTAAAGATCTGTCCCCAGAACCCCTGGTGGCAGCATGGCAGGGAGGAAGGGCTCGGGGTGGGGGAGATGAGAGAGCTGTGGCAGGAGCTGGGTGGCACCTGGAGGATTAAGGGGCCAGTGGACTGGGTGTTGCAGGATTAAGTATTCCTGAGGTCAGCGCCCTGCATTTCCATCTGGGCTGAAGCTGGCCTTGGGCCCCTCCCTCCACAGCCTTATGCAGGAGGCAGCTTCTAGAATTTTCCTCCCACTCTACCCCACAGGTCCCATACATAGCTCCCATTCCTCCTTGGCTGGTGTATTAGTCTAGGTACTTTAGAGAAACAAATCCACAGCAACCCATGTATAAGAGAGTTTTATGTTAAGAAAGTGTGCATCACGAAAACATCCCAACCCAATGCTGCCCAAGCCCACAAGTCCAACATTAACCCATTAACCCAACACCAGTCCACAAAGTCCTCTACCTCACAAAACAGAGGCAATGATGCCGACTGCAGGAGGAAAGCTAAGTCAGTGAACGAATAAGCATCTAAGCACTAGCAGGGGTCTCCACACAGCTGCTCCAGCACCCAGGGCTGCATCGGGATAGGTCCATGTGGCTTCTCCTTGGGGATGTTTTGTAGGAAGTCAATCTTGCCAGCTGAAGCAGGGAACTGCTAAGGCAGCTGCACCCTGGTACAACCATCACAAAGCAAGAGACCCGAGAACTAGAAAGGCGAGGCTCACCACCCATTTATCCCTCCGCCTTTCAATGAGCCCCACATGTGATTATCGGCCAGGTTGGCACAATTAACTAACTCAACTGGGGACCCCACCCCCACTCCCCTTCCCACCCCCCTGCCAGCCCAGGCAACTGCCTCAAAGGAACCCAGCCCAGGCCTCATGCCCAGTGGGCTCCCCTGGCCAGACACAGAATACCCAGGGGAGCCCCTGGAGCCTTATTGAGATGGTGGCCTTTCCCCCAATACCCCAAAGTGCGGTGCTGGTTTCACCTCATCCACACAGCAGACTGGGGGGAACTCCAGAGAGGCCCAGCTCTGGCTTTGTGGCCCTTACTTGCGTTTTGCCAGCCAGTGAAGTGGCCTTGGAGCCTGTGCTGCCTGGCCGTAGGCTGCCGCTGTGCTCTGGACCAGGTTCAGCCCACCACAACCTGAGATGCACTCATCCCGCTTAACGAGACAGCAGGGCTCAGAGAGGGGCCATTTCCCTCAATGCACATGTCCTAGCTGGTGGCCGAGAGCCCTGCTGACCTGAAGGTCTGCCCTTCAAGCCCACCAGCTGCTCCAATACCGAAAGAGCTGGCAATCTTTTTTGCAGCTAAAGAGGACAAGCTAGAAGACCTGACTGAAGGGGCAGTTCTGCTCCATCGACAGTCAGAATCCACTCACTGGTGAAGACGAGCCAGGGTTCCTTGCTACCCCGAGGGAAGGTGCAGCTTCTTTTAGACTTCCTCTGCTTCCCCCGGGGTGAGGGGTGTCGCTGCTTCTGTGCACTTGCTCTCCGGTCCTCCCTGTCTCCCCCTTACCCACCATGCCCCAGGCCACTGTTCCCAGGCTTTGCCCTTGCCCTCCTAGGAGTTGGGGTGGTTGGAGGGTGTCCTGTGTGCCTCTGGGGGACCCTGGTTCTCCCTTGCCCCCGGCATCCCCCTGCGTCCCTGAGGCCTCATTATGAGGTAGTCGGACCCCCGCTGTCTGGCCTGTCTGGCCCTGGCAAGAAAGGTAGTGTTTGGCAGAGAAGGGAGGCTCGGCCCGGTTCCAGTTTGTTCTCTACAGTCTGGAGCCTGTGGTGTGCTGGGGCAGGGCAGGGCTGCTGGGGTGGGGGTGGGGCTGGAGGAGCCATAGGGCAGCCCCTTGTCACTAGGCCAACAGCAGGGAGCCCTGCAGGGGGAGAGGGAGAGGAGAGGGGAGCAGGTGGCCCTTTGTCTGGAGTCTTTGGCTGATCCCAGCCGACCCCTTACCCCCTTGTCTTCCCAGGCCTCTGAGGCTGCCCCTGGGAGGGGAGGGGTAACCCTGCTCCCAAGGCACACAGGGCTCCTGGGCTCCCCCTTCCACCTCCCCTCCACTCAGATGAGATAGGACAGGCCCCAGGCTGTGCACTTCCCAAGGCTCATAGCCGCTTCTCAGTCTGCACCCCCAGCCTGCCTGCAGAGCTCCTGAGGGCCCTGTGGGATGGGCTTGGGTGGACAGAGTCCCTTTTCTGGAGTGGGGACTGTACCAGCCTGGGGAGAGTGGGCATAGTGGGAGGAGCCCCTCCCTGGAGCTTGGGCAGGGGGAAGATCCGAGGTGGGAGGAGACCCTCTCTGTCGTGGTCACCTTCCCTCCTTCTGGAGGCTTCCACTTCCAAAATTGGGCAGGGGAGGTGACCGGAAGCTTGCTGCTGGGGGCTTCTTTCTGTTCAGGGTGGCCCCGGGTGGCCCCTCAACTCTTTGGGCCGTGGATTGCGCAGAGCAGCTCCTGTTACCAGGCAGGTCAGCCCCTGACAGCCATGGTCCTGAGGCAGTATCTAGCTCCCTGGCTGTGGCGCCCTGGCTCTGATGCTCACCAGGCAGGTACTTAACCTCTCTGTGCTGGCTTGTCCGTGCCTGCACTTTCTCGTCATATATGGAGATAGTAACAGGACCGACTTCATAAGTTTCTGGAGGGGTTCGGCTGTACCTGTGAAATCTTTAGACAGTGCCTGGCCCCAAGAAAACACTCAGCAAATACGAGATGCTTTTATTATTGCGGCCCTTCTTTAAGGCCCAGGTGAGCAGCCTTGGCACCCTCAGGCCCCCCCTGGGTCCCTGAGGCGTCATTATTAAGGTGAATGTGTCCTACCACTCCCCCATTCCCACGCCTGGCTGGCTCTGGCCTGAAAGTAAGGGAGGCCTAGGGTAGGTGAGCTTGAGCTGACCTGGGCTGGGTGGACTCGGGTATCCATCCAAACATACTCCTTTTATTCACCCAACACACCGTGCGTGTGCGCCACCGGTTCCAGGCCCTGTGCTAAGCACCAGGCATGAGATGTGATGCCAGCCTTCAAGGAGCCTAGCGAGTGAGTCTAGTGCTGAGGTGAGAGAGGTGCCACCAGGCCGGGGACAGTGTGGGCATGGTGGTCCAGAGGCTTGGCTGAGTGCAGGGCGCCCATGGCCAGCTGAATGGATAGGCAAACCACTGTCCAGCCGTGCACTGGGATGTGGCTTAGCGCTAAAGAGAAGTGAAGCTCTGTGACAGGCCGCCGCAGGGATGCATCTTGGACCCGTGCTAATGACATAAGTCAGACTCAAGGGGACAAAGATGGGACAGCCCCACCTTGGTGAGGTATGCAGCATCGACCAGAACGTATCCGCCATTACCAAGGGTATGGCTGCTTACGGGGTCCTGAGTTTCTGTAAAGGATGATGAAAAATATTGGAAACAGATGGTAGTGACGGCTGCGCATCATGGTGAATGTAATGAAAGCCACGAACTTGTACAGTGGAGATGGCTGAAATGGCGAATGGTTGGCTGTCTATAGTTTCACACACACACACACACACACACACACACACACACACACACACACACACACGATGCCATTCGGAGGGGAGGCTTCCGAGGGAAGGAGGGATCTGAGTCAGGAGGTGCAGCAGGAGTTTCCCAGGAGCTGTGGCCGTTGTCCGGCCAGGGCCTGGGTGTGGCCATGCGTGGTGGCACAGGGGCACACCACAGGGGGTCACACCGGCGGTTCTTGGCTTCCCGCGATGAAAGAATTTGCGCCGAAGCCTGTTGTGTGATCCAAGTGGGTTTTTAGGAAGGGCAGGGCAAGTTTCAGGTGTGACTGTCTCCAAGAGGTGCACAACTGGGCTGGAGCAACCTCATGGAACATTACACCCACATGTGCGGAACTGGGGGAAGGATTCCAGGGACTGAGGGGTCGAGGGTGAGAGGAGCAAGAGGCCGCAGGATCAGAGCAAGGGCCAGAGAGGAAGTGGAGCCATAGAGCCAAGCTGCAGCGTGCTCCCTGCCTTTATCCTAGCCCACCCCTTGGCCGGGGAAAGGCGTGGCCGACGGTACTGGTAGATCCTATCGGTTGAGTTGAGCCCACCTGGGTGATGTCATGAGCCTGGGCCTAGTTTAGACTGCCCAGGTGTTCCTCCCACCTGGCTTGGGCCTTGACTGGGAGCATGCTCAGTTTGGGGTCTTCATAGGCCTCTAATGGTTGCTTCCAACCTCCTCCAGGGGGCCTTTGCAGGCAAGGGAGGGACAACCCCTGTCCCTAAATCTAGCTCCCTAACACGTCCTGTTCCCAGGCCCCTTAGTGCCCCCACCAATGGAGGCCCCGGCCCAGTCCCCTTTCCTCCCTGTCTGCCACCCCTGGATAGCCTTCCAGAGAAGCTTCCTCCTTCCCCTCCTGTCCCCACCCCTGGCTCAGGCCCCAGAAACTGCTCACCTCCCTCCCCCCCACCCCGCCTTTTCCTTCTGGAGTGTCCCCTTTTTGTCCAGGCTCACAGGAGCCAGGACTGAGGGGAGGGAGTCCTTTGCCCTTCTTGAGCCGTGTCCTTCCCTGAGCAACACCGGGTGCTCCGGGGGGCCTGCAGGGACCGACGGAAACAGTTGCGCCCACCCCCTGTGGATATTTCCCATGGGCTTGCCCAGAAACCCCCAGGGTCTCTGCAGGCACAGGGCTGGGTGCAGGAACTGGCGAGAGGTGGTGGAGAGGAGAGGAGGGCGCTGCCTCCTGATGTGGTAGCTGTGTGTGCTTCTCCGTCAGCTGGACCCCGGGAACACGGGCTTCATCAGCACTGGCAAGTTCCGGAGCCTCCTGGAGAGCCGCAGCTCCGAGCTGGATCCGCACAAAAGGGAGGTGCTCCTGGCCCTCGCTGACGGCCATGCCGAGGGGCAGATCTCTTACCAGGATTTTATCAACCTGGTGAGCACTCTGGGGCCCTTGCTGCTGGGAGGACCGTGCATGGGTGGGGGTTGTGGCTTAGATGACCCTTGGGGACCATTAAAAGATCTGAGACCAAGAAAGCACTGGAAAAACCCAGGCTTCAGCAAGTGAAAGAATGTCACCCACAACCCAGCCTCTCTTTGCCTCTTGGTCCTGCTGTCGGCCCATCAGGCCCATCAAAGCTGCCTCGGGCAGTTCCGGCCCTCCCGCTTGTGGCGGCAAAATGGCTGCGGTGGGTGGCTGCAGCCCTCCCCCCTTCAGTTCACGTGGAAGGAGGAGGGGAAGGGGGAGGACGGGGAGGAGGTTGTTTTGTGTTGGTAGCTCCTGCACCCAAGTGTCCCCTCCCCTTGGCCTAGCTTGGATCATGTGGGATCTGGATTGGCTCAAACCAATCATAGGCCTCCCTGGGAGCTGGGAGTGGTGTCAGCCCCACCAAAGGAAAGGTTGAGAGTGGGGAGGGCATTGTTGGAAGGAGAAGGGGTGGGGAGCAGATGCTGCAGGGAGGGGGGTGCTGTCAGAACAGTTGTCCCCAGGAGCAGTGGAGGCCCGAAATCATCACACCCGCTGTCCTGGGCTGGAGACTGAAGGCCGGCGAAGCTGCCCAGCGGCTTGATAGCATGGAGGCGGCCCTCTTGCTCATTGGGTGTCACTGCTGCGCTGTGGCAGGACTGGAGTGGGGTTGGGTGGGGTGAAGCGGGCAGCATTTGACTCACCTTAGTGGGAGGGAGGGGACCTTGGTAGACCCCACATCCATAAGCAGGAGGATTAAGGAAGAAGGTACCAGAAGGCTGCTCTGTGGGTACAGTGGAGACAGTCACCTCTCTGCAGGTCACACCGAGAAGTGGCAAGAATGTGCCAGCCTGGGTGAAGCTCCCAGGTCCCCAGGACCTGACCCCCTGTGAGAGGAGTCAGGCCGTCCTCTCGGAGAGGGACCCAAAGGGCACAGCTCCTGGAAGGTGGGGACATTGCTCAGTGGGTGGGCACCGAAGAGCTGTGCATAGGGGTTGGGGACCATTGGGATCGGGGGGTGGGGGGTGGGGGGCAGGACCGGGCACAGCTTTGAGCATGTGGGCTCTCGTAGTCCGAGTGTCAGGGTGTTTGCTGAAACACCATGTCCCTGTCCAGACTCAGGGCCATGTGGCTGGACCCAGGAGAAGCTTCTGTCCAGCAGGGTCAGTCAGCCTGCTTATTACTAATGTCCAATGCCTTTGTTAAAGTTCTAAGCCTGGCAGTCCACCGGGGGGTGAGGGGGTGGTTGGTGGTGCCTGGCTTCCTGGGAGCAGGGCTGCCCTGGAGCTGGAGACCAAGGAGGGGCTCACTGAGGGGGGAGCCTAGAATAGGCGGGGTGCCCGGGGCCTGGCATCAGTCCTGGCCCAGCCTTTGCCGCTCATGGGAAGATCCTTTCAGCCTGGGCTTTCCTATCCTCTTCCGGGTATTGCTGTCGGATTCAATAGGGCACAGTCTTCTAGAAGGTTTCCTTGTCTTTTTTTTTAACATTTAAACATCTTTTATTTTATAAGTAAATTCATGGGAATAGGGAGTAAAAAAAATGAAGCAACTAGAGGAACTTAAATGTTATTGTCTTAAATATTCAACTCACCCGATCAAAAACGATGGATTTAAAAACAAAGGCCCAACTGAGAGGCCCTTTCTTTTCCTCCCTGTGAATATAGTCATAGATTCGAGATTGCCCTGTAAAGATGTAAGTGCACTAAGTTTAGTTAATTGACTTAACTAGCTGAAAACCACATTAAATCATACTGTTTGCCAAGTTTCTACTATGGACATATCCCCTCACCCCTTAAAATTATGTCATTGGGAAGATGCTAACCTTCACGAGATGAATACAAATTCCTCGGGAACATGAGGACACCTAAATTAGCAACATGCGTATGACTACCTCTTAAAATGTGCCCTAGGCATGAAACAGCTCTGGCCACAATCTAGGCATCAAGCTAGGATGAACAAAGGACTTCAAGTTGGCTCTGTCCCTGACTGATATAAGAGCGCCACCACCCAAAACAGGGAGGGTAAAGGGAGAATGGGTAGGAAAGAGGGAACCGATTACATGGAACTGTGTGTGACCTCATCCCTGGGGGATGGACAACCGAGGAGTGGATGAGGGGAGACGTCGGACGGGGCAAGATATGACAAAATACCCATTTATAAACTATCAAGGGCTCATGCGGAAGGGGGGAGCGGGGAGGGAGGGGAAAGATGAGGACCTGGTGTCGGGGGTTTGGGTGGAGAGAAAATGTTTTGAGAAACGATGTACAGATGCGCTTTACACAATTGATGTGTGTATGGATTGGGATAACAGTTGTATGAGCCCCTAATAAAATGTCGGAAAAAAAAAAAAAAAAAAGAGCGCCACCACCAATCAGGTGTCTCTTTGCCCATAGCCAGGGAGTTCCTTGTCTTTTAATCTTCTTCATCAGGTAAACGCCTCTGCATCCTTCCTAACCCCCTCCCCACCACCAACCCTCTATCCAGAGTTCCCATAGGGCTCTGTTCAGCCCCACCCCCTTTTAAATTAGCATTACAGCTGAGCAGTCCAGGTGGTCATGTAGGGGTGTGCAATCAATAAGTGGGGGCTAAACTCTAGCCCGGACAAGGGAAGGAGAGGCCTCTTTAGCTACTGGGCACCAAGACACCATATGGGCTAGCATGACTGGGCTCAGAGTCGTGGATTTGAATCCTGATTCTGTCATTTACGAACTGTGGCGCCTCAGGGAAATTACTTACCCTCCGCAAGCTTCAGTCTCTGTGCTGATAATGTGGGCATAATACAATGTACCATCTTTTTGCTGCTGGGTACACATCTGGGCACAAACGATGTGCGACATTCCAAACCAGAATGAGCACTGCGCTCGGCACAGTTCCAGGCACCTGGGAGAGACAGAGTGGATGGTGGGTGTGTGCACGCACCCACACCCCTCCTCCTCTATTCGTGTAGAGTCTGTCTCCAGGGTCTCTTGGGCGCCTGTTTGTGAGTATGTGCTCTGCAGGTTTGTTGGGGAGGATGGTAACAGGACCTTGTGGTCCTGCCGGGAGCCCACAGTATATAGTTACAGAACTCTGGAGCTCTTAAGAAGAGCCGGATCCCAGCTTTGTAGGTGTGGAGGAGATGCGAACAGGGGTTTCCCTGGGTGGGCCTACTGGAGATGGGGGAGCTGTAAGCTGGGCTGGGAAGGTAAGGAGGACAGAGCCCTGGAGCAGGAGGGCACCGCAAATACTCACCATCTGGCCTGGTCTGAATCCAGATTCCCGCCAAGCCGCTTTCCACCCAACAGGAGTTCAAATCGTGGAGCCCCAGTCTAGCTTGGCTCCCTTCTGCCGGCAGCATTAACCTAATGCTGACTGCTGGCCCATAGTCCCAGAGACACTTTGAGAATCCAGGGGACAGCCGCTCAGAAAATGCCTTGGAGTCTTGGAAGAGCCTTGTCTCTAGGACACATCTCCGTGGGAAGGCTCTGGAGTGTGACCTCGTGGGTGGAGGAGGCCAAGGAGGCCCCAGGGGCTGGAATTCAGCAGAGCTGCCTCTGGTCTCTGGAAGTCGGGCTGGCTGCCGGGCATGGCATGGCGGACTCTGCTAGACACTACGAGGGCCTGAGAAGTCAGCCAGTCGTTGGGGGTTGGCTCTGGTTCCGGGGGTCTCTCACCAGTGGCATCTCTAAGGGTAGGGTCACCCAGTGCAGTAGCTCATGGTTTGACACACAGACCTCCTATGGACCTTCCCTCATTCCAGACCATACAGAATCCTTAGCACCGCTTATGATCCATTGTGATCATGAAGTCATATGTGATAGAGTGCAAGTTGCTTAGTTGCCATATTTCTTAGGTTATATGAATTCCAGCAACAAGACAGTCTTAGCACTGGATTACAACACTATTAGGAATTAGTTACTAAGGATCCTTCATTCTCAAAAGGTTATTGATGTAAGTTCCTGCATATTAATAACCACTCACTGCCATGGAGTCAATGCTGACTCATATGGGCCCTACAGACAGGGTAGAACTGCCCCTCTGAGTTTCTGGGACTATAACTCTTTAGGAGAGTAGAAAGTCATGTTTCTCTCCCTCAGAGCACCTGGTAGTTTCGAACAGCTGACCTTGCAGTTAGCAGCCCAACACATAACCACTACGCCACCAGGGCTCCTTTATTGTAGCTAAAGCATCAGAACTTTTGACAAAGTCAGGGGCTATGAAGAGCAGCATCGATGAAACCAACTGTGAATGCTTGCAGGGTCATGTGCACATGAAGCCACATGACCTGGAGCAGCACTGTGATTGGCTGATAATGACAGCTCTGACCAGAGCACATTAGAAAGTTCCAAAAGGAAATTAGCATAGAGGTTTAGGCATGGGGGTCTATCGATAGAGATAAACTGGACTTACAAAAAAATTTTTTTTGTTACTGTAACTAATTACAGGGGTGTTTTTCAATTAAAACAATTAATTTCTGCTGAACACTCGCGAAAAATGGATAGGTAGTTCTTTTGGCGGCACCTCTTCTGACAGTGTCCCCCACTGTGGTCCATTGTCCCCCACACCCCCGAGAGACATCACTGCTGTCCACCCAGGAGCCCTGAAAGCCTCTCATTCATGCTCACCCCCAAAGAGGAGTGGGAGCTTGGGAGCGGCGTCCTGCTCCAGGTCTCGAGGCTTGGGGTGGGGGCCGTGTGTCTCCCCAGTCTGGCACCCAAGAGAGGCTGCTAGTTGGAGTGAGGAGGGGAGGGAGCGAGCAAGAGAGAGGATGGAAGTTGTCTTTGAACAGCAATCCTCTCTTCTCCCTTCCCTGCCCCTCCCAAGAGCTCGAGAGTTAGCAGCTGCGCCTGCTTGAGGTGGCCCCAGGGCCAGGACACATCAACCATAATATCATTCTATCACGCAGGACAATGATGTTATCATGGATGATGACACATGAGAAACCATGGGTGAGGCCTCCGTCTGCATCTCCAGACCTGGGGGCCACCTTGTAGAATCAGAGACTCGGACTGATGGCCACCGGAAATCTGGGCCCTCCTGACCCAAGGCACCGGACTCTCGCCACTTGGCCATGGTCCCCGGGGCTCCAGCCCTGGGAGGAAAGGCCATGAGCTACTTGGCTCAGCATGGGTCTGGGAGGGGCCCACCTCATTGGCTCTGGAAGGAGATGCTACGGGTCCCCTCTGGGGGAGCTCCTAGGGTCCAACTAGGGCAGGGAGGAGAGGAGGCTGTGGCCTCCATAGTGGCTGGCCCCTCGGAGTGTGGGGACCACGGTGCTAGTTGGTGGGGAAGGAGGTTAGGATGCCCGAACTCGAAAGGAGGATGGAACTCATCTCCTTTAGGAGAGAAGGAGACGGAGGCCCAGCGAGGTTAAGTGCCTTGCCCAAGGACCACCGGTGGGGTAGTGGAAGAGGCAGGGGTCTTTTGTCCCCCTGCGCTCTCCTATTCTCTTCTCGCCCCTCAGTTCTCACTCAATGATCACCTCCTTCAGGAAGCCGCCCTGCCTGACCACTTTAGGATAAAGTTGCTCCCACATTGGTGGCCCCTCTGAACTCTGATCGCCACTTACTTCTCTCTCCTGAGCACCACTGTATCCCTGTGTCAGACAGTGTGCAGAGGCCACGTTAGTAGTCACTCAGTCCATGGTGGTGGCGGGGTGGATGGGAAAAAGGTGCAGTGAATGAAGAAGGCAGGCTCCGGAGCCCAACTGGGTGTGAACTCGATAGATTGCTCCAACACTCTGTGCCTCAGTGTCCTCAGCTGCTGCAACAAGGGCATTCATGACTGTATCTAAACCCTACCTAACCATATCATAGTTAGAAACAGGGTGTCATTCTATAATTGATTGTGGTGGTGATTGCCCAACTCTTCTTAATAGGATTAGAACATCGAGTTGTATGATGTGTGAATTATGTGTCAATAAGAATGTTGTAAAAAATTAGAGCTTACAGGTACGGCCTCTGCAGCCAGATGTCCTTAGGTTACATCCTGGGCTCTCTACAGTGCTGGGCCACCACTCTGGGAAATGAGATTCAGCTACTAAATGTTCAGGAATTTGCCAAGTAGTATTTAAGTATGGTCCCTGTCGGACATGATATAAATTTGCAATTAAATAAATGCAAAATACATACTAAAAACAGGGCATGCAGTTTGGTAAAAGACACCCAAACATACCAAGTTCAAGGAACAAGTCCTGACCGGGCAATGGGAATCAGAAGACTCGCAGCAAACAGTAAACAAACAAAAGTGCATCGGTGAGAATGGAGGGGGGTTGGAGCGGAGACCCAAAGCCCCTCTATGGACAATGGATCATCCCCCACAGTGAGGTTGCAGGGAGGGGATGAGTCAATCAGGGTGCAGTAGAGCACTAATGGGTCACATAATATACCTGTGGGTCAGGCCTGGACTAAGCAGGGTGAGACCCGGACTCTGACGCTGTCCCCACCTTGTATCCCATGCAGATGAGCAGCAAGCGGTCCAACAGCTTCCGCCAGGCCATCCTGCAGGGGAACCGCAGGCTTTGCAGCAAAGCCCTGCTGGAGGAGAAGGGGCTGAACCTCTCCCAGCGGCTGATCCGCCACGTGGCCTATGAGACCCTGCCCCGGGAGATTGACCGCAAGTGGTACTACGACAGCTACACGTGCTGCCCCCCGCCCTGGTTCATGATCACCGTCACACTGCTGGAGGCAAGGATGGAGGTGGGGAAGGGGCCACTCAGCCCAGGGCAGGGCGAGGAGCACAGGGTGTTTGTTGTTACAAATCAGGCCCCTTTCGTGACTCGTAAGTGTTGTTATACTGTGTCTCAAAGAGATGTTCCAAGCACGATTGTTTCCACCATATAACCAGATATATATACCATCTAACCAAAGCCAAAGCCCCCCTGCTGTAGAATTGATTTCTACTTATAGCAACCCTCTAAGACAGGGTGGCACCTTGCCATCGGGTTTCCATAACAGACAGCCCCATCTTTCCCCCAGGTGAGCTGCTACTGAGTTTGAGCTGCCAATCTTTTGGTTAGCAGCCAAGTGCTTAACCGCTGAGTCACTAGGCTTCTTTTCCTTATAACCACCCACCAAAACAGAAGCAATAGAGAAATTGATGGTGTTCCTTGATTTGAGGGATTTCGCCAGGCTAAGTCATTAAAAAACAAACAAACTTAGTGCCATCAAGGCGATGCCAAGCCATAGCATCACAGGGTAGAACTGTACCACGTTTTCGCTAAGAGACATTTCCGAGACTAACCCTTTACAGTCTCGTCTTTCTCCCGAGGAGTGGCTGGTGGTCTCGAACTGCCGACCTTCAGGTTGACAGCCCAATAGATAACCACTATGCCATCAGGGCTCCTAGGCTAACTTATTAAGACCCGTTTATTTTAGTGCTTCCCTGAGTAAGTGGACAAGTCCTCTACTCCCTTGCGACTCCATTTTCCCATCTGTAAAACAGGATTGACCAGCAACGCCCCCCCACCCCCAAATCAGGCTGCTCTCTTAAGAGAGAAAGAGAGAGGCTACTGATGCTGCCAGTCCACAGGCGCATCCCACACAGCAGTTGCCCCTGGGCAAGTTCTGAAAAAGGGTAACCACCATGTGTCCTTAGAACTGTGCTGCAGAAGCATGTTTAATGATTGATGTTTTCAGAAGAGATCTGAGGGGCCTCTGGGTAGATTTGAATAGTTTGGTGAGCAGCCAAGCGCATTCCCCGTGACCTGTTTGCACCCCCAGGGGCTCCACCACACAGGTACGAGGGGCTTCAAAATGTTGGTGGAGAAACGGAACAAAAAGAGAATGGAATTCTTCCATGAGCTTTTGGAAACCCCCTTGTACATGGGGATGTTGCTGCACAGATAAATAAGGTTACAACGGGCTTTAAAAGAACATCCTCCCCTTAGGAAATCATCCCTGACTCTTGTTATGCTAAAACCCTCCTGCTCAGGCAACAGAAATCCAAAGATACCTCATGTAGGATCTAAGCCCTTCTGGGCGGAGCTCCGAATTCTTCTCACTGTCCAGCCCAAACGCCTGTGGCCTTCCCACCCGAGCTCCGGGATGGGTGCTGGAAGGCTCTTGGGGTTCCATGATCTCCACTCTTCCCCTGCCGGAGCCTGGAGCCACGGGCCCAGACATACGTTCTTACAACGGTCCTGCAAGGACGGCAGGGGGTTCTTCTTTTCTGCCCACTCTCTGGTCTGCAGGCCAGAGCATCTCTGTGGGTTGTTTATGGTGTCATCCAAGTACACGGCCAAGTTGCCACTTTCTGAGATATTCTTGGATGTATTCTTCAAGAACTTGCTGTGCCGGTCTATTTATTAACTGCTATTTGAGGACCAATAATAACCAGATGCCTTGGAAGCTGTATTTGCTGCCAGACCATCCTCCTGTTGTTTGGTGGACAGAACAACTCCCCAGAGAGTCCAGCTGTCAGGGGACCAAAGCCATCCCCAGGCTCAGCGCAGGGAGGGTTTAACCGACCGCTAATTGTAGCCCTGTCACTGGGTGTGTGCCCGGCGTGGCATCCTCTCTGTGACAACTCTGGAAGTACAGGGATCGGTGTTCCCATTTCCAGATGAAGAAACCGAGGGCCAGGGAATCCCAATCACTGGTCCTGGGTCATCCCGAGGAGCCTGATTTTGTGTTCAGATTGTCCAAGAGGAGTGCTTTCCAGAAGCCTCAGCTGTGTAAACTCCAGCTACCAGTCCAGAGGAAACTGGCAAAAATTCGAGGAGCTCAGAGCCCGTGTAGGAAGGCCAAGGTCCCTGGGTGGTGTGAGCACTAACCTCCAGGTGGGTGGTTTGGAAGAAAGGCCTGGCAATCTATGCTTCTGTGAAAGAAGGTTGCCAAGAAGACTCTATGAAGCTGTTGTGTTCAGCGCCACGGGGGTCGCCATGCGTTTAGGTCAACTCGAAGGCCACTGGCTTGGGTTTTGTTAGTTTGCTTGGGTACGAAAGCCCAAGGCTCTTGTTTAATATACAGCTCTAAGGTTGTAAGGAGCCCTAATGGGTTACTCATTGGCTTCTAACTGCAAGGTCAGGAGTTCGAAAGCACCGGCCATCTCCTCAGGAGAAAGACCGGGTTTTCTACCCCCATAAAGAGGTACCGTCTGAGACACCCATAGGGGTAGTGCTACCCTGTCCCAGAGAGTCGCTGTGAGTCAGCAGTGCCTGATGGCAGTGAGATGTTGACTTGGGTTGGTTTTGGGTTTGGGGGTAAAATAGGTTTGTCATGGGTCAGAACCAGCTCCGTGACAGTGGGTTGCAGTTCTAGTAGGCAGGTTTTCTGATTCCATGGCAGATAGAGGACTCAAAGGGGCACAATGGGAACCTATGTGAAGGGGACCACTCTCACAACCAGTAATAGCTGCTGACCTCGCAGTACAGGCGAGGACGAAAGAACATGTAAAACCAGACCCAACTCTTAAAGAAGCACTGGAGCTTGGGATCATGTCGTGCAGGAAGGACAACCCAGAGACCCCAGTTTCTAGAGTGCACATCACTCTTAAAGTCCAAATCAACGCTTATGGCGGCCTCAAAATAGGATTTTTTTTCACTTTCTTTTTTTTTTTTTGTCCTTTGAGAGAATTCAAGAACACAAGAGATACATTTTGGAGTGGTTTTTCAGAAAGAAGGTGGGGGGGAGGGAGTTAAAATAAATACTTTTTAAGAGCTTAAGCAAGTGTGCTTCAGCCATGAGCCAAGTCCATTGCTGTGGGACTGCCTCATCCCGTAGGTGATGCGGTGCTATTGAAATAAAAGCTTCAACCCTCCAAGTTCTTCCTGCATTGTACCAAGCCCGTGTGAGCAAAGAGACCAGGGGGCCACGGTAGGGGCAGTGGAGAGGCAGACAGAAGTGAGGGGAGAGCCAGAGGAAGGCTGGATTGGGCGCTGGCTGTGGGAAGGAGAACAAGAAGGTTAAGTGAAGGGCCACTTCCTGTAGGGATGGTGAGAGAGGCCCCTGGACACCGTCACACCTGTAACAGGTCCTCTCCGTTCGGTGGCTCCCTCCAGGTGGCCTTTTTCCTCTACAACGGCGTGTCGCTGGATCAATTTGTCCTGCAGGTGACCCACCCGAGTTACCTGAAGAACACACTGGTTTACCACCCACAGCTCCGAGAACAGGCTTGGCGATACCTGACCTACATCTTCATGCACGCGGGGTGAGTCCTTGACTACCGGGGATCCGGTTGTCACTGTGGTGGCGGAGAACGAGCGGCATAGGTGTGGGAGGCAGGAGCCCTGAGTCCGCCTCGCCTGGCTTCTTCTAGGCTCAGGCTCGGAGGCCGTAACTCAAGGATATGACCAGAAAGTTCCTAAGGTTCCCCACTTCCAATCTCCCTGGACTGCTTCAGCTAGCAGTCAGAAGAAGGTGGAAGGTTCCAGGCATGGTGGGAATTGAGGGCAGAAACCCAGCAGCCCCCTTGTCCTCCAGGTAGCTCAGCAGTCGGGCCTCAGACAGGGCCAGGAGAAGGACCGTGTACCCGACAAGGGCCCTAGCCCTTTGTTCCATGTTTCCATGCTCCATAGCTTAAGCCACACCAGGAACCCACCTAGCTGCTGTAAACTCAGCTTAAATGAGATCGTGGGTGTTAACGCCCTTTGTAAACTGAAAAGCACCCCTGGGATTTCATCATAATAATGTCACCATCTTTCTGGTAAGGGGCTCAGCTATACACCCCGCACATTTAGCCCCAAGATCTGGCACAGAAGGCCACTCACAAGTTAAGAAAACCCAGGATCCTACCTCCCAAGGCGGGGAGTGGGCAGAGCAGCCTCTTTTCACACTTGAGAGGAGCAAACACCCCCTCCTTGCTGCACACACCCCCTCTTTGCTGCACACACGGGAGCCTTTCAGTAGAATTTTTGAACAACAAGAGACATCGTTATTGCCTGCACTTGTTTTGAAGGGTTCTCTTGGAAACTCAGCAATGGAAAGGTAGAGGGACTGGAGGGCTGGGTAGCAGCAACAGCTCGGGCAGATCAGAGACCTGGGCTGTGTCCTCCACCTGGCCACTCCCCAGCTGTCTGGGAGTGCCCCTCTCTGAGCTGCTCATGTGTTCACGGGACTGGCCCTTCTCACGATGACAAGAGCAGTCACCGCTAGTGACTGACTGTGCACGCGTTCCTGTCCTAGCTGCAGGGAAGGTGTGGGGGGCTGCTCATCCGAGTGCCTCCTATCACGGGACCATGAGCCCCCTGAGGGGAGAGACGGGTCTGGTCCACAGTCGGGACATACCAGGGGGCTTCACAATTGGAATGAAAAGACCATGGAATCCACCACCACCACCACCCACGAACTTTTTGAAGCCCCCCTTGTACGGTGTTTGTTGGATGAGTGAATGAATGAATGAATGAATGCAGTCTCTCTGCCATAGGATAGAACACCTGGGACTCAATGTGGTGCTGCAGTTGCTGGTGGGGGTGCCCCTGGAGATGGTGCATGGAGCCACCCGCATCGGACTTGTCTATGTGGCCGGCGTTGTGGCAGGTAGGCTGGTGGGCCCCGTCCGCAGGCTCCCAGGGGACACACAGGACCTTCATCACCAAGGCTCCTGACTGCTGGCCAGGGACTACCAGTGAAGAGAGGCAACAGGTGTGTAAGGACAAAGGGATTTGGACCTGGCTGACAAGCCAGGGATCACCCTGCCATGTAACCTTGGGGAAATCCCTTCCCCTCTCGTGGCCCCATTAAGCTCTAAGATGCTGCCAATGAAATATGTGGCCTAGTGGGTTATGCAGGCTGTTAACCACAAGGCTAGCAGTTCAAGACTGCCAGCCACCTTTCAGGAGAAAGATGAGACTCTCTACTCCCAGACAGATGGACAGCCTTGGGATCCCACAGGGGCTGTTCTACTCGGTCCTCGAGGGTCACCAAGTGTCAGAATGGATTCTTAGCAGAGTTTTGTTTAATGAGACATGTCTACAGGGCTCGTAGGAAGTTGGAGTCAGGTGATTCATGGACATAATTGTGTTACATGTGCACGGATCACACAGGGCGTTGGGGCCTGCAGGCGGTGGAGAGCCAGGGACCTCCCTGGCCAGGGCAGCACTGTACGTCTGCCCAGGTTGGCCATTGACCCATTGCCCGAGCCTACTGGAGGGTCTGGGTGAAGAGTCACAAGTACTCAGCACCGCAGGCACTCGGGCAGGTGACGGTGGCAGCACCGGCCTGCTTTCAGAGCAGCAGGCCCTCTCAGAGGCTCCCAACCTCGTCACTGGTTTTCTTTCTTTTTTTTTTAAACAAGGTTTGCTGCCGCAGCTCTTCAGCTTGACAGCTGTGCCCAAGGGAGCTTTGTGTGTGTGGTTAAGTAAGATCTTAATCCTTTCTGAGTGGCATTAAAGTTGTCATCAGCAGGGTGGGGCCGTGCTGGCCTTGTATATAAGGGGCCTGCAGGAAGTGGTTTCAGGAATCCGAGAGGGAAGGGTCTCACCTCCATCCACCAGCCTGTTCTTCAAGTTCATGACCCTTCAGCCAGGGCCCGGACCATCGCCCCCAACTGCTCTGTGAGCGCAAGGGTCTGAGCGCTCTCCTCCAGCATGCAGTACTACCACGCCCTTGAGCCAAAGCTGCCAGCCTCTCCCAGTCCGGGCTCGAGGGACGCACACCGCTCGCTCTGATACTTGGGATGGATTGCTGCCTTTTCCTCCCCGAGACACGCGCGGCCCAGATGTTCAATGGCGAGGAACAGGAAGACACCCGTAACACTTGCATTAGTATTCAATTAGATGGAATTGCCCAGAAGACAGAAATAAAACTCAAGATGACTCACCCAAGCCGGCAACACCCGATGGGGAGCCGGTGTGGGCACGTGCCCCGGTGAGACCGGTGCTGGGTGGGGAAGGACTGCAGGTGTCCGCTGACGGTGGGGGGTTGGGGACGCCGGCATCTGCACTGCGCATGACGGGCACTGCTCCCTGAGTCATTGACTCAGACCGGAGGGCACTCTGGTCGCCACATATCATGTCAGTGATCTGCGGCATCGAGCTGATGGAGCTGACAGCCCTGCCCACCATCCCTCCCTCTCCACTCCAGGTGCACCCCTCCTGTTTCCAGACAGCCTGAGCGTGACTTGGTGGGGGGGCGTGCAATAGGTTCAGCACTCGACTGCTCACTGAAGGGTTGGTGGAGGGTCCAGCCCTCAAAGATGACATGGAAGAATAGCTTGGCCGTGAAGTTTCTGAAAGATCACAGCCTCAGAAACCCTACAGAGCACAGCTCAGAACAGAGCCCCGCCAACCGGCTGGTTTCACTGTTGTTATCACGTGGGAGGCTCTGGGTGACACCAGTGATGGACTCCCATCTATCAGAAGCAAGGTTGGTGGTTCAAACCCACCCAGAGACACTCAGAAGAAAGGCCTTCCAGTCTGCCTCTGAGAGGTCCGAGCCTTGAGTGCCTGGGAGCACACAGTGCCACTGCATGCGGGCGGGGGTGGGTGGGGGTGGGGAGCAAGGCGTTTGCCCTGCACAGAATCCACTCCGCAGCAGCTGGTTCAGTTTGGGATTTGTACCAAATGTATATCAAGCCCCTGCCGTGTGCAGGCTGCATTTAATCCTAGTCGCAACCCTCTAAGGAGCGAACAACCCTCCTTCCTGGTTAGAGAAGCCGAGGTTTATGGAGGCCAGTGGTGAAGCTGGGTTCCAAACCAGGCTGTATCACCTCAAAGGCTGTCCTCCAAACCATGACCGTCACCTTGAGAGAATCTAAAGGTAGACGTGCCCTTGTGCAGTTGCTTTATTGTCAGAAACTGAGAGGTCCTGCTGGACCTCTGCTCGGGGCATTCCCACCCAAGGCCAGCATTTCAAGTCCATACCAAGTTTCACAACAATGATAGCTCACCTCTACCGAGCCCAGAGGGAGCTCCATACAGGTGACAAAGGCTTGACTCGTCATAACAATCCCAGGAGGTGGGTCCTATCACCTCCTTCTGTGGGAGGTTCAAAGAAGCAGAACAACTCACTCCTGTTTTCCCAGCTCAGGAGGGATAGAGCTTTCTTGCCCTGTTGACCCTCTAGGCTCTGTGCTTTTTCAGCCAGTCATTGAGACCAGGCTGCAACTCACTATAGCCAGCCATCATGTGGCTAACAATTATGCCCTTTAAAAACCAGAATATTAATCTCTTGGGGAGCTCAGATGACAAGCCACAGGTGTCACTTCCCAACCCCGGGCGATCTTGTTCAGGATTTGGCACACTTTCCAAACCAAACCCATTCTCTTCTCGTTGATGCTGACTGATGGTGACCCGTGTGTTACTTACGGAGTAGAACGGTTCCAATGGGCTGTTCTTGGCTGTAATCTTTACGGAAGCAGATCACTAGACCTTTCTTCTGCAGAGCCGCCGGATAGGTTCGAACTGCCAACTCTTAGGTTAGCCACCAAGTGCAAACTGCGCCTCCCGGGAGCCTCGGCACAAGCAGCTAGCTGTACAATACCATTTCAAACTACATATGTAAATGACTCGCGTGGCTTAAAGTTAGACTTTCTTTAGTTCTTACTTTCATTTTAATGGCCAAGGGAGGTGGGAGCGCACACCCGCTTTCAATTTTTCCAAAGCTTAACACGACCACGGCATGCATGGTGACCAAGTCACCAATGTATCTGTGTGCTGGTGTGGACTCAAAATTTTGCTGGGGGGAATTTAAAGCCCTTACCAGAAGTAGCTTGGCATTCTCTCCCTACCCTCTGACCCTCACGAACTCCTTGGCATTCCTACTGGTCTCAGGGCATTCCCACCACGGCCTTTCATCCCCTAGGTGCCAGGTGCTATCTGCTAGGTGCCCAGCAGCTGTGAAGGCATCCTGCCTGGCTTGTGCTTCCTGCTCTAGATCTTTCCACACTTGTCCCCATGTTTGTTTGCATCTGGTCTCTTCCCATCACTTTGGTCTGGGACTTGTCTGCGTCACTGAGAAAGTCTTCATGCCACCATTGTCTGGAGACCATCCGCTTCCATGTTCTAGAACCAGGTTCTGAGCCTGCGACTTAGGCCAGGTGATCTATTGACTTTCTGGTCAGAAAGGCACATCTTTGGGGTTCCCTCCAGTGGGTGGCTGCAACCTTTGCTCCCCAGGCCCTCCCTGGTCAGCCTACAGGGGAGACTCTGGTGGTCCTTGTCAGGCTGCCTTTGCAAAGAGGGTCTCTGCTGCTCCTCAGTTGTCAGATGTGCAAACGGAGTCCCCAAGAATCCCCGAAGGCCACAAACTAGCCAGACATGCTCCCAGTCAAGTCTGCAGCTGCAATTGCACACTGTCCCCTGGCCCTAGGGTCAGGACTGGGAACCAGGGACAGGGTGAGGGAAAGGTCAGTGTAGACAGGCTTGACCCCTGGCTGGGCAACCCCTGCCCTGACACCTCCTTGCTTACAGGACTGGGAAAAGGCAGGGTGCAGATGCTGGGCTGGTGGTGAGGATGTGTGTGAGCAAAGAGGCCAGCCCAGCGGGGCTGGGGCTTCCTCTGTCCCCGTGGTAATTAATGAGCAGAGGAGGCTTGGGCAGCCAGCTCCAGCAGCCCTGCAATGCAGCTCCCAGACTGCCCGCCTGCCCCAGCGCTAGCGTGGGAATCCTTTGTCATGCAGATCCCGCTGCTGTTTGTTTGTCTCCCTGGGATTCCACCCCCCCTCCATATACAGCTGACCCCACCCACAGCGAAGCAGAAGAAAACCCAACATTATCTGACAATAGATCG